TTCAGAACGAGGAAATTGGCAAAGGGAGGAATGTGGCAAAATCAAAATGCTGAGCAGGGGAAGAGAAAGGACGGAGAAATTTGGAGGGGGGTTCCCGAGAATGGCTGTGTCGAGTCTAGCCAGCCGATGGACCCAGCGTCCCCCACCTGGTGCCCCCTCAGGTGCGCTAGGCTCTCATGGCCATCATGCCCAGCTAGCATGAGGATGATAGGCAATGCAGTCTTGTACATCTGGAGGGCAGTTGGTTGGATTTGAAGCCTTCTGATTAAGAAGCCATGCTGATGGATTTGGCAACAGATTTAAAGACAGGGTGACTGGTTCTTCTTGGTACCTGTTCCGGGACCTGCTTGCTATTCTTGCTCCATCGAGGCATCCCGAGTCACGATGACTGCAGGGACAAGTTCCCTCCGACACCATCCCTGTCCTTGTCCCCCCTGCTCAGCTCCTATGAACGCCAAGCTGGGGCTTCCTTTGGAGAATCACTCCCTCTCACAGCTGGTCTCTCCTTCCTCCTCCGCCTTCCACTTTCCCTGGCAGGATTGTCTTCCCCAGCAAGTCTGCCCTTCCCATGCTGTGCCTGAAGCACAACAGCCTCCACACTGCCTGTCCCCTTTGCTTCGAAGGGAAGTTCCGGCCTGGGTTACCCAGGCTTCGCTGGGTTGTCTTTCTGTCAGTCTAGGCGTATTCGCAAATATGTGGCTATTTCATGTGCATGTTTCAAAGGCATCCAATATCTTCATGTCGGATTTCTCCACTGTCCAGGTTTCACACTCGTGCATTTGTCCTGGTGGCGAGCCGTTGCGTTGTCTCCGCCATGTGGCAACAGTATGAAGAGCACCCTCTAACATTCCATTGTCGGTGGTCCTGCTCAGCTCTTGGAAACACTGGTTTGGTGCTTCTTTTGTGGAAGTAATCCATCTCCCATTTGGTCTTTCTCTTTTTCTGCTGCTTTTGACTTTCCCGAGCTTGATTGTGCCCAAAGCACTCAGCAGCAACAATAAAGATCATTCACCAGCAATTTCGTTAAAAGCCAAAGCACCTGAATGACTAAAAGCTTATCCTCACCCCCTTGTTTGCCCTTTGATTTGTCTCAGGCAGAAATCTGACACGCTTCAGACAGGATGGATGGGCCACTTCCAGGACACCTGTTGGGACTGCAGGCAGGCGTGGTGCACCTGCCCAGGTTGCATGCCAGGTGGCAGCCACGCCATGCTGTTCCAGCACGTTGGCTTTTCACTGCTGCAACAAGTTAGCTCTCTGGAGATGGTGGTCTCCAGTCTCACGCCAGGCTTTGAGTGTGACGTGGTCTCTGCTGTTTTTCCAATGCTGGAGAGGCACTCCTTGGGGGTAATGAGTGTGCACAGCAGCTGGTGGGATTTGAACCCTCTATCCCTCAGTTGGAACACTGGTACGCTACTTCCTTTGGCTCACGGGGATGATGGAGGTTGTAGTCTAACACACCTGGAGGGCAGCAGTTCGCAAAGCAATGTGTTGAGGGCATCTAATACTCCCGCAAGTTTTCTTTTAAATATAAAGTACTTGTAGCAGAGAGTAACTGAAAAACAAGCCTTGGGAGAGGAAGGACTAGGACGCTAAACCTTCTCCTCAGAGGCATTTTTGCACCAAATCACCCCCAGGCAGTTCTGGCACCGGGGCGAAGAGTGGGGGGAGTTACAGTTGTCATGAAGAGCACAGTTAAAATATACTGCTTTTCTCAAGTTGGACTCTGGCTGTATTCAAGGAGGAACTTACAGAATCTTGTATACACACTCAGACCTGAAAATCCAAAATGGCACACCTGGTGCTTGCCGAATAGTCCTACGTCTCGTGGCGATACACTGATAGCACACAGATAACCAGACTTCCCACAATGAACGGGGCAGGGAATCGAGGGGGCTTGGCAGGACGGCTTCCCATGCTAGACCTCCAATCCCTCTCGTGCCAGGCCCAACTCTTCCTGCTGGGATGCACAAGGCTGGCTTGGCTTCCCTTAGCTCAATTCTCTGTATGCTCACTTGGAACTCAGAGCTCTTCCCATTTCTCATAGCATCGTCAGCAAAGGGAAGCCAAGATGAGCCCAAACTGAGATGCCCTCGGCCTTGCCAAACTTGGTGGATCTAGGGATGCTGGGGAAGCCCTGCCCAAATCCCCATGCTCTGGATGGCAGCATTGGCTGCTTCTAAAGAGCCGCGATGGAAGGAGAAGATGCTGCAGCCAAACACAGAGGAAGCTGTTCAGCAATCGGAGTCCACCATCAAAGCCAAGGCTGCAGAGCCAGGGATGTGTTGTTTCCAGGGCATCTGACATCCATTTTTGTGCTCTCTGGAAAAGCCTAGGTCACACGGGGGCTGGCTTTGAATCTGGAAGCATGGTCACATCTACTCTGGCTGGGGATACAAGCTGGCCCCCATGCAGATCTTGCTGAATGATGGGTGTGGAGGAATGGGAAAGAGCAGCTGGTAGAAATGGAGCCTTTCTTGTCCTTCACAGCCCCCTGGGGCTCACCTTGCCTGCATCGTGGTTTGTTATTCCATGCATCATGGTTTGTTATTCTTCTGTTTGCTGTAAAGACGTAGGACCACTGATTGGGCTGGAGAGCAGTGCTTGAGCAGGTTTTCCGACCTGTGCTTTCAGGTTTGTATCTAGCAAAGATTCGTTGGTTGGTTTGGCATCAAGTAACTGGACTTTCCCGACCTAAAGGGTTCTACTCGCGTCTCCTAGATGCAGAATTCAGTTTTGTTGCATGCGGAAAGGCACAATCCTGGTTGTGCCTGCAGCATGTGAAGCACTGATCCTGTCACCACTCAGCACCTTTGCGAAGTCTCATCCGATCCTGAGACGGCCCAGTGACGCACCCGGAACCGCACGGTCCTGCATGCAGCGAGGGGGACCGCAGGCAGAGGTGCTCCTAGCACTGTGGGAAACGGGGAGGCTGCTTTAAAAGGAGAGATGGCAGGAGGTGCCGGCACCAGCAAGAGACACAGACTCTTTTCTACAAGAGTTAACAATTCTTATCTAACTCGTTTGGGGCATCCTGTCTTCTCCTCAGACGCCTACCTTCTCCTCCTCACTTCTGTTCCAAAAAGAGAGCGAGTCCCCTAATTTGGTGGCCTTGGTTATTCTGTTTTACTTCTACTGGGTGTAGGAGGAGAGCAAGTTGGCCATGTCAACCCCCGTGTAAAGGAAGACTTTCTCCACATGACACACACATTTTCTCCACGCCACGCTAAGGATCCTCTTGGCAAACTGCAGACCTGTCTCCCTGCCCAAAACAACAAATACCACCCACCCCTGGGGCTCACACTCACGGCTTGCCAATGTGGGAAGGCTGCTGGCCCCGTCAGACAAGGTTAGCCAACGCAAAGACGGGGAACTTTCTGCCTTCTTAACATCCCACCTTTGACGATCTGTCTGATGTGTTGAAGATCCACATACAAAACCCACCCAACTGGCACCTACCAACCCCCTGCCTTCCCCCTGGTCCCGAGGAAGTCCGTGGCTCCTTTCCCTGGCCCTCCTCAGTTGTCTTTGTCCCCATAGTCATTGTACAGGACGCTCAGCATCTGCTCCTCGCAGGTTTTCTTGAGGTCCCGGCTCAGGTCCAACCAGCTGAACCCATGTGGCTTGATCTCGCTGTAGCGGCAGGCCAGGAATTTGAGGGACGAGCGCTGCAGGCTGATCTTCGGCTCCTGCAAGAGGCCGTGGCACCAGCTGCTGAGCTCCCCGAGCTGTGAGAGGATGAGGCCGGCTTTTCTGCAGGGGGCACAAGGAGGCCAGGACAGGGCAAGAGGTGAGATGCGGGCTCGGGAATTGGGGAGCTGGTGGGGAGGCGGCACGGCAAGGAAGAGGGCCACCGGACACTAGGGGGCCAGGCATGGCGCTCAGGCAGAGCACGGGCACAGGGGGGACTGCCCGGCCAGACGCTTGCCTTGCAGGTCTTTCCAGGCGGCGGCGCAGCACGCAGGCCTTGCTTGGCAGGGGAAGGAAGGACTCCTGCAGCGAGTGGAGGAAAGCGAGGCCTTTCCTCCCGCAAGCTCGTCCGTCGCTTCCACACGTGTTTGTACGCAGTCGGCGTGGCCAGGACCCCCGCTTATGCTAAAACCCTTGCATGGCCTCCAAACACTGCTAGAGCCAAGGGACACGGACCTGGAGGCCGTGGGCTTCCCTTGTGTTGTTCGGCTTTTGTTGTAAGAAAAAGAACACCCAAAAATGAAGATGAGGCGAGTTGTAGATGTCATGGAGACAGCGCGCGTGAGGCAACCTGAACTTGTACGGCATGTAACATCAAACACCATCAGCTTAATTAGGGACTTAATGTTCCAGCATATCAGAACTGGTGTGGCTCTGCAAGGAAATGGTTGGGCCTGAACTGGAAGGACCCTGGTTCCAGAGTGCCAATTTGCACGCCTCTGTGGATTTACACCATTTCCCTTCAGAGTGTCCTGTTTTAATGCCCCAGGGGTTGGTCCTGATTAAGCGCAAGGTGCAGTGCAGGGCCAGGGAACTGCGCTCGGGGGGTGGGGTGGGGCAGGGGGGGGCATCCTGGTGATCTCAATCCCGTTGTAGGAGCCCTCCTTCCGCCCTGGCACAGGTGATCTGCCAAGCAGAGCAGGACCCAGCAGGCGGACTGCTATTCAGGTTCCCTCTTCCCTTCCCCTCCCACTGGGACCTCTCGATCGGGTGACATGGTCTCCCCCCATGCGTCCCGGCTACTGATTTCAGGGGCTGTCCAGATGGTTTCTAAAAAGGGGACTTAATTCTCTCTTCTTTTGAAAATCCTGTTAGGCAAGAAAGAGTAAAACTGAGCAGAAATCACGATGCCCTCCCAACACACACCTCGCCTTCCCAGTTGCATCGGACGCCTCCCTGGGGACAAGTCGCCAGGACTGGCTCCGAGTCCGAATGGGAAAGGCCTGTGTCCGCCCTGTCCGTGCCATGACTCCCCCCCCCCCCGGGGCCCCAAGGGGGGGGGGCACATCAGCGAACCCCATGCCCCCCCCTTACCGAGGCCCCAGCTCGTCCTCGCAGCGCCAGGTGAATTCCCCGAAGCTCTCGTAGTGCTGGTTGTAGTGGTACAGCACGCGGTGGAGGCTCGGGGAGCCCAGGTCCAGGAGGGTGTTGTAGGCGGTTTGCTGCTCCTTCCCGCTGGTGTAGCCGTTGAAGAGGTTGTAGATCTTGTCCGCGATTTCTGGATCGGAACAAGCAGAGCGGGGGACGTCGCACACACAGTGGAGGGGCAGGAAAACGGGGCACATGCCCTCGTGCCGCCCGGCAAGCCGACCCACCCCCGCCGTCTGTCTTCTCTTTTGCTTTTCATTAAAGCGCCCTCTTACCCTGAAGGGGCGCCTCCTTCCCTGTGTGCCTGCCCACCCCTTAAGATCCAGGGAGAGGGTCCTTTTCCGGGAGCCCTCCCTGAAGGAGATTAGGAGGGTGGCTACATGGAGAAGGGCCTTCTCGGTGGTGGCACCCTGACTATGGAACACGCTCCCCAGAGAGGTTCGCCTGGCACTGGCATTATATTCCTTTTGGCCCCAGGTGAAAACCTTTTTACTTCCCTATTATTTTTAACGTTTAATAGGTTTTAAGGTGGGTTTTATTTACTGGAAGTTTGGATGCTTGTGCTGTATTTTATTTTGTGTTGCTTTTATTGTAATACTGTCCCAAGATGCTTGCAGTGGACGGTATATAAAAGCTTTAAACAAATAAATAAATAAGAATTGGGGCAGCCGTGAAAGCGGGTTCTGCTGGTGCTGATAGCTGAGGGTTTCATGGGTCGGGGTTTGGGGTCCACTTTGGCTCATCTTTTGGGCAGCTGACTTGCCTTCTGCCGTGACACAAAGCGGTTGCCATGGCGGCCTTCTGCCATGGCAGCCATTTTGTGTGGGTGCCCAGGAAGCCCTCTGGCGGCCCAGTGTGCCTGTGGCCCAAAAGGGTGACCTGCACCTGGTTCCATGCAGAACAAGCACGGTTCGAAGGGCATCCTCCGTGAGCGCTGAGCCCTGGGTTTGGGTGGTCCCAGTCCTACCGGCATCTCAGCTCCAAGGTTGTGTGGCATTGCTGCTGGGACTCCACGGGCCAAGCCCCTGTCCCCTCTGCACCCAGCCTGGAAAGAACTGTGCCAGCTCTTTGACGGTGTGAGGAAAGGGGCATGCCAGTGGGACCGGGAGGGGAGGCGGCCAGGGCTGATGCTTCACACCAGAGCTCCGTCACGCCCAGCCTCCTCCATCAAGGTGGCTGAAAGCCTGCACCGGAAGCAACCAGTGAGTCTCCCTCTGAATGGTGCGATCCCACCTGTTCACAGGACGTGCAGCTCCCGGGCAGCCCCTTGTCCGGCTCGTTGTGCGAATCCCCCCAGGAGTGCATGCCCAAGTCAGCTGCTCCTTCCTTTCCCTGCGGTTCTTGCCTCCGCCCTCCCAGGGTTACCTTGGGCTTTCACATCATCAACCACCGGACAAGGGGTCTTCACAGTCACGTCGCTCGATCGGGAGCGCCTTCCCGTGTTGTCCACGCCCCAGAGGGTGAACCTGGGGATGGAAGCAGCGCAGACCACATCAGCAAGTGTGTGGCTGTCCCACACATATCACGTTGTGCTGGCACCTTCCTCGCATGTTACCCCATTTTGAAACCGACCACCATCCTTCCTGCGAGACGGGACTCTCCTCCAGAAACACACGCAACCCACAGCAAACAGACTAGAAACACTGGGTTGGATCCGCATTCACCAGTGCTTGGATCAAACACATTGGAACCAATACGCCTCAATTTTGCCACGCCTGCCTGAGGTTCCTTCAATACCCATGGGTCTACTTTGAGTATGACTCACAGGACTAACCTCAGGTCCAAGCCAACGCAACCTAAACATGCAAGCTCACAAATCAGCAGCTACGCCGTGATTAACGCTGGAGCAGAGCGACGCTGATCAGTCTCAAATGACCCAGGAGAACCGGTGGTTTAAAGGGAGGCACAAACGGGACAGAGCAATAGATCCATGTCATCTCGACACAGAAACGGCCTGAGCGCATTCTGATTTTGGAAAGCGGCAGCTGCTTCACGTCTAGGGTGGGAGTCGGCAGCTTGTTGCCCTGCAGGTATTTGGACGCTTCCCATTTCTGAATGGGAGGAAGGCAGTGAACTGGGAGAAGGCAGAGGCTTTGCTGGAGCCGAGAAAGGTCTCCGAGATGCTTCGTGCTCAAAGGACCAGCAATCCAAGCCCCGGCCACCATCCTTTCCCTAGTGACACCTGCCCCGGTTTCTTGCTCTTCTCTGAACAAGTTTGTAATGCTTCCTACTCACCTGGACATGAAGAAGCAACAAGCCCTCAGACAACCCACCCCGCGATCTGCCCTGGTGCAGTGCAGCTACAAAACTTGGGGCAAATTAAGCCTGAAACAAGCTGCAGATCAAGAGAAGCAGGGACTCGCTCTGTGGGGGAGTCTGCATGCCTCCGTAAGTTGGGGGGTCGGTTGTTTGCGGAACTACCTGCAGTGTGCCTGACAGACAATCGGGTTTGTTGTGGATTGCCCCCCACATTGTTCCAGGAGGAGTCCCCGAGCACCTGGGGCGGAAGCTGCCCTCCTCTCCTCTCCTCTCCTCTCCTCTCCTCTCCTCTCCTCTCCTCTCCTCTCCTCGAACCTCATTCCTGTGGCTCTCACCACAGCTCCTACCCACCTTTCCCCTTTTGAGCGTGACGACTGCCTTCTGCAATATCCCCCGTGAGCGGCACTGACAGCCCCTCCAGTGCCCGGGTGACACAAGGGAATTGTGTCACCCAGATGCTGTGACAATCTGCCTCATCGAAGAAGGGGGAAGGGGTGCCGCAGCGAGCGACAAGGGCTTGCGACGGGAGTGGGGAGAGCGGGCCAGTGACGGCCTCCCCAAGGTGCCTCCTGGGCAGGTGGTGGACTGGCTGCCGGGGCAGAGACTTGGGTGAGCTCAGCAGCAGCAGCAAGGGACTTTTGCTGCAAAAAAGTCCTTTCCCAGGAGCGCATGTCCTTTTCCTAGGAACCCATGACAACGTTGCTGTGCTGGGCGAGGGCGGGACAACCCATCATGGGTGGGAACCGTCCTAAACAAACCAGGGTGACTGGGCCATGAAAACCACTGTTTTATAAGACACAACAAGCTGCCACAGCTCTTATCTGTGCCAGACTGCTATTTGCATGAACCAGACAGTGCCCCCTGCATGTAGTCTGAGAAAGAGTTCTGTGTGCTCCGAAAGCTTGCAGAATGCGCTGCAGGATCCTCATTCTGCCGGCCGCGTGAGTTCAGGCGAGGCAGCAGCTGGAGTTCACTCACATGTAGGTGGTGTCGGGCTCCAGGCAGCGAATGATCAAGGAGATGGTCGTGGAGAGCTTGTCGGGCACCTGGGCTGGCATCGCGCAGGGTGACTTGGCTCCAGAGATGATGTCGTCCACAAAGCTCAGCACCGTCTCTAGGGGAACAGGTGACCCACCATTATCTGATAACAGGGAAGGCACGTGCACATGGGACAGGGAAGGGGGAACCTCGGGAAGATGGACGCATGTGCATAGGCTCCTACGGGTGGAGGCGATCCTTCGGGTACCCCAATCCCACATCGTTTGGGATGTTAAAGATCAAGACCAGCACTTCTGGCGTGACTATAACAGCGTGGTGTTGCATGCTCCAGATCTGGGCTTGTGTAACACCGGCCTGTTGCACTCCTGCTTTGCTCAGCCGCTTCACAGCTGCATTCTGCACTACTTGACGCTTCAAGTGGGGCCCAAGTGACATCCGGAAGCGAGCTGGTGCTCCATGGGAAGCCACTTCGGAATAGCTGCGAGCGAGCCGCGTCACAACGTGTTCTGCAAACCGGCCACGCGAGCCACAGGAGTCTCCTCCACCGCTCCTGGGGGAGCAGAATGCAAAACCAGGACAGGCAGCTGGGGACCCTCCAGTGCTTCCAGTGTAGCATTCCCAGCATCCTCGTCCCTGGTTATGCTGGTTGGGGCTGATGGGACATGCAGGCCAAAACAGCTGCAAACCAGTTGCTCACTCCTGACGTGAAAAGCCTCAGACAATGTGGAACCAATGTGCAGCCAAACCGGAGCACACACCGTGTGGGGAAGGGCGGGCGAGTTCCCCGGGTTTCTAAAATGGGCTGCATGTGCAAAGACTTTTCCGTCCAACTTCCCTAAATAACAGTGGAAAAAGAGGAGGAAACACACAGGCCTGCCCACCGGAGCATCTCCTGTTTCCACTGATATTCCTTGGATTTGGAGGAAGCACACAAGTTCAAGCGACCAGGGTTGGACTTCTCTGGGATCTTCACAGCCTTGACCAAGAACCTCAAACTCACCTTCAATTTTTGCTTTGTATGAAGTGTTTGTGGTGACTCTGAATGCAAACATAATTCCAAGGCGGAAAGGAGGAGATTCCAATGACTGCACGTGCCGAGGAAGTACTGCATTATCCTGATATACGGGGCAGAATTTGGCATGGACTATGGAATCCAGGAAGGCCATCTCCGCTCAACCCTGGTCTATTGAGCACCTAGCTTGCGTTTCTTTGAGACTATTGCCTTTCCTTACATTATCAAACTATGCCTGAAAGAATCTGCAATTTACTGCAAAAAGTGCGTCTCCATTGACCTCAAGCATAGCTAGGCACACACAGAAGGGAAACGCACGGTTTGTTTTTCCTTTGCTTCTCTGCACGGCTGGGAGGCGAGCTCCTCTCCATCCTAAACTGCAACATTTAAATGGCGCTGGGCCACCTCTTCAGCAGGAGGCAGGAACGTAAAACAAGCGCACTCAAATGGTTCCATGTCTTCCTTCATTATCTTCCCTGTAATCTTCCGGGAATGCACTGAGCAAGATGCACTCATCTTAACCTCGTTACCGAAACAGCTCCCCTGCAAGAACCTGCACAGCCGCAGGAGAGCAGGGCTCGTGAGGGGCCGCGGCGTGCGGGCTGCAGGTTACGGGAGAGCACAGTCCCCACTTAATGTCTCAGGCATATCCGTCCTCTTGGATGTTGCCACGGACATAATTCCTTGCTAAGCTGTGGGTTTGGAACTGAATATGGAGTCTTATTTTGTCTAAACAAAACATGATTTGCTTTCCCCGACACTTGACCGCTTTCCAACGAGCATAAAGAGTCCGCCGCACTTACCAGTTTCCACCTTGGAATGGTCCAGGCGGTCTGTGACCTTCTCCTGGCGGATGAGGTAATCCACGATCTGCACCCCGATTGGGGGCTCCGAGTGCTCCCACGCCAGAACCACCAGGGAGCTGCTGGGCTCGTGTGCCGTGGACAGTCGCAGCCTGCGGGTGGCAAGGGTGAGGCGGGGGTCAGGCGAGGAGCCACCGCACGAGGCTTCTCCCGTTTCCCTCCCGATCTGGCCCTCGGAAGGGTTCGGAACAGGTCCGGCGCGCCACTTCTCGGCAAGCGGGACGCTGGAAGTGCAGGGCTGTGGAAGATCTGGGCACCTTTTCTAGGATTAGTTCTGCACTGGGGCTGCTCTGGGCCCGGGCCAGTCTGACCTCCCACCACACGCACAGAAGGGGAGGGCAGGAATGGCCTGGGGCTACCCATGACCATTATAAGCTATCTTGCAATATTCAAAGACAACAGACTAGGAAACAAGATATATCCCAAACGGTTCCATTCTTGCTTCCACATACACATAACATGCATTCGAAGTTCATTTCTCATCTTAAAGTTTCACTGCATGCATTTGATAATCCTGCCTTTATAAGGCTATATATTCTTAAGGCTTCAAAAAGAACATTTGTTTAACAAGCCTGCCTATTTGTGTTGTTTGGCTTGTGTTTATTGAAAGCATTCCTGTAATGCTTTTGCTAGGATCAGAAGGCGGGGGGAGTGGGGACCGGCATGACTCCCATGATCCTTGGAATGCCAAGGATTGTGGGCATCCGGCTAGAGCAGGGAGGGGAGCCTGGCCCTGCAAAAGACAGAGAGCCTGTGGCAGAACTGGGACTTGGCTATCCCATGGCTGTTTAGACAGAATCTAGACCTTCCTGGGCACCCAAATTCAAGCAAAATTGCTTTTGCCCTGGCCTCTCATTACTGCTGATGGACGGGCTTGACCATTCCCAGATGAAAATAGGTCTACTAAAAACATTTTAATATGGTGTATTAAAATAGGCTGTTCTGGAAAAATGGTGAGGAGGTTATTGATGTCCAGCAGGGAATGCTTTCCCGCTGCCCAAAGGCCAAGATGGTTTTTTGGAGCCATGTGAAGGCCTCCAGCTAGTAGGAAGAGCACTGGCGATGAATCCCTTGGAGCTGCTTCCCTCACTCGGTCCATAGAGAAGAGCTGCTTTTGCTGTGGGAAAGAGACTGTTTGCCCGGCTGAAGCAGCTTGTCCCTCCCGCTTCCCCCAAGGAGGGAAGGTTACAATCTGTGTGCTGAGCTCTTCGGAAACAAGGGGAGAAAAGGACTTCATGGAATCCATGGCAAGAGACTTCATTTTCACTTGGGGGAGGAACTGATGCATGGCTAGCCCAGGCAACCTCGGGGGCACACAGAGCATCCCCTGGCCTGTTCAGGGAACTGAATGGGGAACGAGATCTTTGGCAGTCAGCCCCCGTTTCCCCCATTATGTCAGGTCCCGAAAGAATATGCAAGAGCAAGGCTGCAACAAGACTTCCTTTCCCCCGGAGCAGCTAGCAAAAGCCTAATCCCACGAGTCTGTGGTCTGGGATGCATTACACGGGGTGTGGAAGGGGGGCGCAGGCCGGGAGCCCGTCAGCACCGAACGCGCTCGAGTCACAGCGGCACCAGTCCTCGATGACGTCCCCACTGCCTGAGCACCACAGCAAACTCATCGTGGCCTCTTGCAGCAGCTGCGAGAGACAGAGAGCGAGAAAAAGCACAGAACGAGTGTCAGGAACGCTGTTGCCATTGCCCTCCCCCTCCAAGCTTGTTACTCAGAGACTTCTACGCAGGGGTCCCTTTCGAGAGATTTCTCACTGGAGCAGTCCTCTAGGGAACAGTCCTCACGCACTCTGCAATGCCATTCAGGGCATCTTTCCCCCTTCTCTCCATCATGATGCCCAGCACAGGCAGGAAGTTTTGCCCTCGCTCTGATCTGTCTTGACAGGAATGAAAGCCAATCCATCAGAAAGATGCCAAGAAAGCCAATGTGGAGTGAGGGCAAATGCTCCCTGTGCTCAGCCTTCAATACCACTGTGGCCAAAGTTTGTGCTTGTGAAGGGGGGGGGGCGGCACCCCGGAGCAGGAGGGGGATCATCTGCAGACACTTCCTGGAGCATTCTCAGAAAAGTGAGACGGTGGCAAACATTTCCTCTAAAAATGTCTCTGGGCTTCCAAAGGGCTTCAAATCACAGTATCGCAGCAGCAACGCTGCAGAGCAGGTGGGGTGTGGGAAGAGGCTGTGAGGCAGAATGAGCTGCGGGGGCCATTTCAGGCTGTGAGTGCAGGACTGAGGCAAGACCTGAACCCTGGACTTCCTGGCTCATGATTCACCCACGTTACATGCTGAGCCATGTGGGAAAAGAGCCAGCTGACTTCCAAAAGGCATACGTGGTCAGACAGCGGCGCTCTTTAGGACAGAGGAAACCCACTGGGCGGCAGAGAAGCAAACAAGCCACCCGAAGGAGCGTCTGCTTCCCTACACGCCTGCCTGCCCCTTCAGATGTGGCACGGAGGCCCGTCTTCAGGAGCCCTCCTTGAAGCCGATTAGGAGGGTGGATGCCTGCAGCAGGGCCTGCTCGGTGGTGGCGCCCAGGCTATGGAATACGCTCCCCACAGAGGTCCGCCTGGCACCGACTCTGTATTGCTTTCGGAGCCAGGCTAAAACCCTTTTATTCACCCATTATCTTAAGGTTGATTAGGTTTTCATGTGGGTTCGATTTACTGGATTTATTGGATGCTACGCTTCAGTTTAGTCTGTTTTTATTGTAAGACCATCCCGAGACGGTTGTAGTTGGACAGTATAGAAAAGCTTTAAATAAATAAATAACCAAGCAAGGAAAGGAATGCCATGGGGACTCTGTATTCAGGGCAGGAGAGGCCTGGAGCGGTTTCCAGATCACCCACGGAAGGGCAGGGCAGGACTTCCTACTTCCGAGCCCCTCAGAGCCTTCCTACCCTGAGAGCCGCGCTGTGAAATTGTACATGTTTGCCCAGCCGTGGAGCAAGTGGGCAACACACAGACGCCTCCATGGCGGAAGGACAACTGGCGCCCCGATGGGAGTGCTGATCTTCCCGGCTCCACCTCAAAGCAGCGCATGCCCCTTGAAAGCACCCGGATTTTCCAAACAACTGTGCTTTCACCTCCCAAGTGAAGAATCTCGAGAGGTCACAGATTTGGGGCCGAGCAGCTCCCCGGCACCGGTTCCACCGGGCTCTGGTCCCACAGGCGGGCACTGCCCTTCGCCCCACTCTGTCTGTCTTTTGGTGTAGCTTGGACCAAATTTTGGAATTCGGGAGTGCTGTTGGCCCAGGATCCGCTCTCATTTCCCCCTTTGCAGGTCATTTCTGCACAAGAGGTGCTTGCGAGCACTGATGAAAAGCACCGCCGTTTCCAATTGCGAGGATCCCTGTCGTGTGGCATTCGACATTGTTTGAGCGAGCACAGCAGTACGTGGGGAAGGCATGTGGGGGAAATTCCAGAAAACGCACACAGACGCAATGATCTCTACCACAATTTAAAAAGCATCCAAGTGGTGATGTCATTAAAGGAGCAGTGCTGCTTTGCGGAAAACCTACTCTAATGCAGAATCCTAATTTCTGGGAGGAAATGTTTCATAGGCGTATGGAAGGATGTGCACAGGATCTGTTTGCAGGGTGCACCTCTGACTGATTTTCCTGAGCCGGCCCGCTGGATTCTTTTCCATGTCCCTCATCCTGGTGTTGACATAATCGGATGGAGCTCAAGTCAGCAACTGGATCTCCAGTTCTGAAAATGGGCCACGACATGCACACGTTTTCTTTTAAGCTCCAGAAATTGGCACAAATACTAGAGGTCAACATCCGTGAACATCTCAAACTTGTGAAAATTGGAGCCCATCACAGGGCTGTCCTGACTCAAACTGGCTGCCCGCAAGTCCAGCTGTGCTGCTAACATTCCCTTCACAGTGCAATGCTAGGAAAGTGAACGCAATAAATAGTATTTGTCAGAACAAAAACATTATGGAAAGGAATCAGCTATTACATCCATAACATTGCTGGGAAGATTGAGGGGGAAAAGATTAAAAATTATTATTCCATTTGCAGAAACCATGGGAATTGAAAAGCAGTAGGAAACGGAGATGAGCACCACCCCCTAGACTCAGGCTTGACTGGACTTAATGCCAAGGGGAAACCTTTACCTTTACCTTTTAACTGAAAGTAATAATTTAAAAATGCACCAGAAAATAATAGTTCTGATGCCGAACCGGACAAAATTGACAATGACAAGTTCTTTCTGAAGTAGAAAGACAGCAGACTAACCATAAAGTATTGGGAGGATGAAGCTGAAAAGAATATTTAGCAAGAGAGTACCCTTGCAAATGTGATACAATATTGAAAACAGCACAGCCTTGTTGGTGCAAATTTCGACTGAGACGGCAATCGCCGTGAAAGGCCCACGTTGCGCAAAGCACGTTTTATGCACAGGATGTTCCCAAGACAGAGATCTCAGTTCTCAATGTGCACAGCGATTTTGTGCACCCTTCCAGAGCCCCCTCCACAAATATCTGGCATGGCCCATTTCCAATCACTGCATTGGAAGGCCTGTGGAAACCTGCCAGGCTCACACAAAATGGATTTCCCGGAGTGTTCATCCCAAAGTGAGCTGAGGGTGCATCTGCTATTCCAAGAATCTCAGATCCCATCCTGTTTCAATAAAGTTTCTAGGAGACTCGAAAGCTTAGAAAGAAGCTTGGCCACATTAGCATCTGCTTTCCTGCTCTTCTTTCTCCACTTCCACCAGCTTCCCCTCTCCAAAGAATCAAGGCATTTCCGATACGGCATGATTAAGGAAAGGCTGGGGGGAATCCTCTGCCCCCCATGCAAGAAACGTCCTTTCTGGAGAGCCACGGGGGCTTTGGGCAGCCCACCCCCAGCACCGACCCTCTCGCTCACCTTCTGCGTCTGATTGTTGGTGACCAGCTCGTAGATGGGCGCTGCTTTGGTCACCTCCAGCAAGATGGGTTCCGCCAGCGCATCTGGGCTGGAGGTCACGTGGCACAGAGGACAGGATGCCGGGCAGCGGCCCCTGCTTTGGCACTCCATGCGCACGCCGGCCGCCATGCGCTTGGTCCCGGATTCAGACAAGCTGGCGATGTACTCCGGGAAGGTCAGGACGCGAGGATCTCGCTCTCGTTCTTCGGACTCATCCGAGGGGGAGTTGCCTGCAAGGAAGACCACTGGGCGGAGTCAGGCAAGAGGGAGAACCCGGCCTGTTTCCACGCCAGTCTCTCAGAGACACAAAACACGGAGCTAAGAACCTGAGCCCAGGAGGATGCGAGGGTGTTTCTGGGGGAAAGGTGTGCCTTTCAGCGTAGGACTACTTGTCCTATCAGCCTTCAGAACTCATTTTGCTCTTGTGCCTTCCCCCAAAGAATCCAGAGGGGCATTTGTAGTTGGTTGACTGCGCTGGGAAGCCTTTGCTAGAACTCGTTTTCCTGATGTGCTTCTAGCAAGTTCCGATATGCTGTCGGGCATCTTTCCCCCACTGCTAAGTATGTTCAACCTCTTCCAGAAAACGTATACCTTGTTTTACGGAACTTATGATGCTGTTTATAAACACTGTTTAGGTGGTTCATAAGAAGGATCCCCAAATCTGCATTAGTTTAACACCACTGCCGCTTGCGTGCTCCCATGTGGCCTACTGGCACTGAGCATCCACCAGTTCTCCTCCAACACGTCCTCTCAGGACACTGGCTCTGCAGAGATCACAAGTTCTTTTTCTCCCCGCACTCCCAACCTGCTTTTTCTAACATCTGGCACATCTGTGTGACATTTCAAGGCATAATACTAATACACCCTTTGGTTTTTTTCTATAAAGTAACCTTCTAAGCACAGCGCTGTAGACAGATATGCAGATTCTAAGAAGAATTATTCCATTACTTCTCCAGACATGGTACAATCGCCCTGTTGACACAAGCCAAAACATTGGATTGATTCTTTGCATCACAGCTCCGCATCGCTGCCAGTAACTATTTGTGGGAACAAAGGAGGGCACAGCAGAGTTGGTAACTGGATGCTTAAAGCAAAGATGGTGAGAGCTGATTCGTGGTTCAAGGACCACAAAACTTCTCAAGAAACTGCCAGCCTGAACCTGTTCTATTTTTGCTAGGATGATCACACTCAGTTTTCCAGTCTCCAGGCAACACATGTATGGAACATATGCAAATACAGCATCCAAAAGGGCAGCGCAGAAAAATGTCAGCTGCGGGAGGCGGCGATGGGGCCCTCACGCAACAAGGATTCAGGTCAGCACTGGAAGGGGAAAGCATGCAATGAAGCCAGCTGCACAGGGGACACGTGGGGCTGGCCCCATGGCCCTTTGGCCCCTTCTGACTTTACCAGCCGATGGTTCCATGGCCAGGCTGTCCTTAATATCAGCAAGGTCACAGAGCAGCTTGTAAACTGACTCCTGGGGGAACACACACAAGAACTGTTACGTATCTAGTTTGGGAAGGCTCTCCGGTAAGCAACATGGGCACAAATGCCCAAGTTATCCAAATGGGAGTAGATTAAACCTGGGAATCAGGGTCTTTCAAGGTCCCAGTGATGTGCCCTCAGGAGCTGCCCAGACAGGTCCCACTCCGATGGGCAACCCAGTCACACTGTGAGCGAAAGCCTTCTCTTTGGGTTGACGTGCTCCTCCCCGTTCTGGATCTCTCAGAGCCTCTCCGAGCCCTATTGAGTCCTTCCACCATTTCTGAGTCACCGACCCTAAGCCAGGGGCTTGCAAGGTCAGTGGCCACCTGGACTTCCAGGGTCATAAGCCAAGCACAATCACACTCTCAGCAGAATGCCCTTTCCTTGCCTCCTTCCCGCATGCCCCTCATCGCTCTCCATGCTGGGATCCATCATTGTCAGGAACCAAGGCAATGGCCTGTTTTTAGGCTCTGCATTCCAAACTCCAACTCTGCAGCCATGGGCCAGAAGTCCATAACAGGGGGCTTGTTGTGGATTTCCCCCCTCCCCGCATTGTCTTGACTCAGGAGTCTGGCTATTCAGGTTTCAGGATAATCTGCCCCCCCCCCCCCCTCTAAATTTAGCAGTTCTGCTCTTTTCATGGCCCATGTCAGGACCCAAAACCTTGAAGACACCCCCCCCCCCCCCCACCGTCTGCCAAGCCCTGCCCAGCCTTCCCACCACACACTGGGCCAACCACGGTTCTCCAACTCTTTGTCTATTCTGTTCTTAGTCAAGCGCTAGGGAGTCACTGATCAGCATCTTTTCCTGCAAACATTTATAGCAAAAGGTGCAATCTTATTCTTTGCATTCTCAACCGTGAGGCCATCTCCCCATCCCGCCGAAGCGCATCGCCTCATCCGCCCTGAACGCACCGCTCCCCCCGCAAGGCTCCCTGCTTTTCCGGCTCCATCGGCCAAAGGCGAGTTCACACGCCTGCAGGCGAGAGCAGTGGTAGTGTGGATCGTGGCTCTTTTGGCATCCGAGTAATGCATGCAGTGAAGCCAGTGTTCAAAACGATGGTTCAGGATCGGCTGCTCCTGCACGCAGCGATCCTGCGCAACGACGCCCCAAATGCTGCCACAATTGCGCGTCCGCCAGCGAAGAAAGGGAAGCAACGCCTTGATGGGGAAGGGTGCCTTGCTCCAAGCGGCCACTAGAAGGAGCAGCGACGCCACGAATCGGCAGACCGGCCGTTCTCGTTATCTGACCGATGGGGCAAATCTCAGCGTTCCCAGGAGCTGCAACGGTGACCCGGAGTAGTAGAGACTGCGACCGGCGGAGATGCATGGAAGAGGGGCATTCAGAAGACGCCAGACCTCCCCCACTGGCTTATTAAGGGGTGCTTTTGACTCCATTGAAAAGTGCAGTCCGGCGGACCCAGAGACAGGAGTGGCATTCTTGGTTTTCTTCCCCTGCTCTGCCATAATGGCAGCTTGCCCCACAACCTTGGCAAAAGCCCCACGGGGGCCAGGACGGCTTGGTGGGGTGACCTCAGTCCTGAGGGGCCTCTTGGCAGAACCTCACGGTCCTCCGGGTGCTTTAAAATTACAAGGCAAAAATGCAGATTCAATTCCAAGACTGCACTGCAGGCAGAATCCGTGTCCTGCTGCTGTGGTACCAAGGCATCTAGGATCATTTTAATGCTTTAATAATTTGCACAAACAGTTGAAACACCTCAAATGCCAATCTGGGGAAGGAAAATAGCAATCAATTCCCATCTTGTATTTTGAAAACAGCTATGGCAGCCTTCAATAGGGAGAATGAATCTATCAATTATGCTTTCTCCAGCATGAAGATTTTATAAATTGAACATTCTGTGTTGCAAGTGCTTCGCAAATATTGGCAAATTCTGATCAAGTCAAACTGAAATTAAATCTTCCCCATCAGCACCAGCCACATTCAGTTGGTACACCTATTTTATTTTTATTTTTATTCCCCATGATGCACCTGCTCCTTGCCTGATTGCCGGTAAAAATGAGGAGCCAATCAGAAAATCACAGATATCCCTAAAGCAATCGTCGGCATGGCTGAATGCCCAGGAATTCCAAAACAGACTTTTAGGAGCAAAACTTTCAAGGTCTTGGACCTGGATGGACAACGTTGTCAGTTTTCCATTTGTCTTTTTTAAAAAGCACTTTTTGAACCCCGGTAGGAGGAACTTCTCAATTTTTATCAAAACTAAACTGAAACAAAATTCTCCATCTTTGCTAGATAATAGGATCAGCTCCACATGCTTCCGGGAACTAAGAGGCAACAGAGAATGACTAGCTTGGTGCTCTGCAGCTTGGGTCTGTTCCTTCTTTTTCCTTCTTCCTTTTCTGCTCTCCCTCTGCAACCAGAAAGCGGGCAAGGGTGTCTCACACGTAAGAAAAGCAAGCAGTCACGTCCTGGGCCTTTCTGCACCATGCCCAGCTTTAGGGGGTGCTCAGAATCAAGCCACGCTAGTCTTCCCACGGAGGTGGGTAGAGACCTGTTCTCCCCTGCAGAGGAAGGCAGGACGCACTCCAACGGAGCAAAGCTCAGGGAGCCCAGGTTCCATTTGGATGCCAGGAAGCACTTCCTGACAGTCAGGACCCCGAGGGCGTGGAATGGGCTTCCCTGGGAGGTGGCTGAGGCCCCATCGGTGCGGGTGTTCAAGGATAGGCTGGACGTCCACATGGTGGGCATGTCGTGAGCGGAGCCGGCTGGAGGCAGGGGTCAGACTAGATGGCCTGGGAGACCCCTTCTGACTCGCTCTGCTTCTATGTCTCCCCAAGAACACGTAGGAAGGACATCCAGCATGAGCTGACTGGGAACTTCTTGACCCCCCTCCAGTCTCTGCTGCTTTTCCCAGACTGCTGCTACTGCTCCTTTTCCATACAAGGCAACTCTGCTGTTAGTCACATCAGACTATCCTTCAGCAAAAAAAAATCTCAGGCTTGTCTCAAATAAAATAAGAAGAATGAATAGATAAAAGGCTACAAAAGTGGAGGCTGCAGTTAAACTTGTAGCATTCAGCAAAATAAATCAAACCACGATTGAGACTAACCTTCGGAGAGAGATTTTGCCTGGCAGCAAACGGATGTCAAGACTGGCCAGGTAGCCCTCCCGGAAGGGCAATCCATGGCCCTCTTCCCAGGCACCGCCAGCCTGATGACGGAGGGACTGGAGAGGGCGAGTTTGGACAACCGGGGGGGACAGGAGGTGGCCTCCAAGCACGCGGGTCCCAAATACGATAGGATTTCAGAGGTGGCCCGGACGGGCGCTTTGAGAATGAACTCCAGGCTCTGAAAGAACGTTCAGGGTTGGAGCAGGGCTTGGTGAACTGTCAGCCAGCATGGACTTCCTCTTGACTTGGCTTGTGTGGGAAGCCTGCACTGAGCATGAGGAAGCCTGCCAGGGCCTGGAGGGACAGCCCAACCCTACTCTGGACCACCACTGTCCTCCCCGCTGGACTAGCCTTCCCAAACGTTAGTGTTGCTCCAACAATCTAGGTGGACGGAACGAAAGAGGCCATCCCCAATGCACTGGCGGCTCACCCAGGTCTCATGGATGGGTCCTGCCTGCTGTGGCAGCTGTTTTCTTCTGGACCTACTGGGCATTTAGCACCGCAACTGCAAGGTCTGAGGACAGGCTGGGAAGGCAATCCAGGCCTGCTTGGCTGGGAGGAGGCCTGGACAGTGAGCAGCTTTCTATGCAGTCATCAAGAACCTCCCGTGGGGCT